TATATATATATATATATATGTGTGTGTCTATCTCAAGCTTACTTCAAGCATAAAGTTATTCTTTATGTTAGGAAGCAAATGGAGCATGATAAATGGCAATTTTTCTTTTTTCTTCTTTTTTTTGGGTGGGTGGGGGTGCTGTAAATAAAACCACAGGCCCCAGAGTCTCCGGAATGGTGACTAAATAAGTGGCATTTGTTGTCTTTGGAGCAGCATACATTTTTGTGTCACACAGTTAAATGGTGATAAAACGCCGTTGGGATTATTCCACCATCAGCTGGTGGTGCAACTTAGGCTGGTATCACACAAAATATATTTAGTGAGAAGGTTTGGAAATGCAGACGCACCTGATGGCGAGATCTGTGGCAGCACATTAACGTAAAAGGTAGCGATTGTGGATGTTAATTATTTACTGCAGATAAACAGACCCTTTGCTCAGTTTTATGGGTCCACAGATCAGTCCACAGATCATAGGATCTACGTTTGCAGCCATGACTACTGCAGGAAAGGTAAGTAATATATGTTGGAATGTTTGGTGTTTTTTTTAACTCAAATATCACACTTGATAACCTTATCATACGATAAGTTAAATGCTTCATTACAGTGTTTGCTTGAAATCCAAATCTGATATTATATAGCTTTTGCATACAGGTGTTGCTATCCTACTACCACATAAATGTAAAAATTCTGCCCTTATTGCGTTCATGCAATTACCCCTCATGTTTCCCATGTTAAATTACTGGAGTCGTTTTACATTATGACATTTCATTTTCAATCATTCCTGTCTGTTTCATCGACTTATCTGGGTCCTATCTTATCTTAATCATAATTGAGAGTAAATAAACTGATAGATAAAAAATATTTACTCAGTTACAAAAGGATTCACAGTACTTATCAAGACCAAACAAAAAAGTCCAATATTTAATCAAACATAAAACAAATTCTCCTGTTTCATAGACTAACTTGTCTACTGTTGAATACGCTTCTGGAAATGGTGTAAGAATGGGTCAATCTAAAAATCGTGTCATGTATGTCTGAACTGTGGTAATAAACCAAAAACTAAAACTCCTTCCTAAACTAAAACTATCACTTCCATGGCCACAGGTGTATAAAACCAAGCACCTAGGAATGCAGGCTGCTTCTACAAACATTTGCAAAAGAATGGGTCACTCTCAAGAGCTCAGTGAATTCAAGCGTGATGTGGTGATAGGATGCCACCTGTGCAACAAGTCCACTTGTGAAATTCACTCGCTACTAAATATTCCATGGTTAACTGTTAGTGGAAGCAATTGGGAACATCAGCAACTCAGCTACGAAGTGGTCGGCCACGTAAAATCAGAGAGTGTGGACAACGCATGCTGAGGCTGAGGGCGAGTGTGCAGAAGTCGCCAACTGTCTGCAGAGTCAATAGCTACAGACCTCCAAACTTCGTGTGGCCTTCAGATTAGCTCCAGAAGTGCGTCGAGATCTTCAGGGAATGGGTTTCCATGGCCGAGCAGCTGCATCCAAGCCTTACATCACGGATGCAGTGGTGTAAAGCACGCCACCTCTGGACTCTAGAGCAGTGGAGATGTGTTCTCTGGAGTGATGAATCACATTTCTCTGTCTGGCAATTTGATGTGAGAGTCTGAGTTTGGCGGTTGCCAGGAGAACGGTACTTGCCTGACTGCATTGTGCCAAGTGTAAAGTTTGGTGGAGGGGGGGTTATGGTGTGGGGTTGTTTTTCAGGGCTTGGGTTTGGCCCCTTAGTTCCAGTGAAAGGCCCCTCCTTCCTGTTCCAATATGACTGCGCACCAGTGCACAAAGCAAGGTCCATAAGGACATGGATGAGCGAGTCTGGTGTGGAGGAACTTGACTGGCCTGCACAGAGCCCTGACCTCAACCCGACAGCACACCTTTGGGATGAATTAGAGTGGAGACTGAGTCAGGTCTTCTCGTCCAACATCAGTGCCTGACCTCACAAATGCTCTCCTGGAAGAATGGTCAAAAATACCCATAAACAAACTCATAAACCTTGTGGACAGCCTTCCCAGAAGAGTTGAAGCTGTTATAGCTGCAAAGGGTGGACCAACTCCATATTAAAGCCTATGTATTAAGAATGGGATGTAATTAAAATTTATGTGTCTGCAAAGGCAGGTGTCCCAATACTTTTGGCAATATAGTATATATCGTAGTTATTGATAGTGGGTGAGTTTCCGGAAGCCTTCTTAATGCTACGTCGTTCATTAAGTTCTGTGTTAAAAGACAGATCTTACGAACGACGTAGCATTAAGAAGGCGTCGGGAAACTCACTCAGTGATAGTGATTGTAACTAGTTTACAGTGATCTTGTTTCCGGAATGGTTGTGAGGATGATCACCATGCGCTTACCCATAATGAAGGGCACCCCATTCCGCAGGTAATCAGGTGCAAGGCGGCCGTAGCCTGGGGCCTCAGCCAGCCTCTGGTCATGGAGGAGATCGAAGTGGCCCCCCCCAAAGAAAGGGAGGTCCGCATCAAGGTGAGAGTTAGACACAAAACGCTGATTGGCCGTCACTCACAGTATGAGCCGAAGCCCCCAGATCTTAGGGGGGGGGGGGCGATGTTTCCAGCCCTGAAGCAAGCAGGAAAGGTGATGGTATAATGGCATTATGGCCATAGATTTCAGCAGCTGACTCATATAGGCACCTGCATGGACCTGCACCCCATATCTATTTGGTTTTATTGTCGGTTTATTTGACAGGGACAATGCATGCCGATAACATTCTGTAAATATGCATTGTTTCATTGTAATTTGTTACAATGACAATAAAGACATTCTATTCTATTCTATTAAGCCAAGAACCTAGTCTCCATGTATAGTCCCTGGGTTCTTTGTCAAGAGAAGAGCACATATAAAGATGTAAACAATCTCAGTAAAGTTAAATACACAACCAAACCAGACAATAAAAGCAAACATTTTCCTATATTCAGTGCAACTTAAAGCCAAATATATATTTATTATAAAAGCACATAAAACAAGAGCAGTTTTGAGTGTCGTCGTTGCATCCCCTACCTCTGGGTCAGATCGTGGCGACCACGGTGTGTCACACGGACCTGTACTTCCTGCGTGAGAAGTCGAGCAGTGAGGGCTTCCCAGCAGTGCTGGGCCACGAGGGCGCGGGGATTGTGGAAAGCGTGGGCCCCGGAGTGAGCAGACTCAAAGCAGGTCAGCAGCAGTGCGCACACCACTGCTTATTTAGCTGCTGGCTAAAAAGGATACATCCAGTGTGCAAAATACCCGTCAATATTCTGGCTGGTCCCCATCTTCCTATTGTTGCGCAATACCGATCTTGAGACCCCCTTAAAATTTCGCTTTTGAGGCTTTCAGAGGGTCTCATGGGTTAATCGGGGGTGTCGCCCCCCGGACCCCCCATATTTCGCACACTGGATACATCCTTTAGCAACCTCTACTATGTTAAGTGTCAGAATCATCTCTATGTAAGGCTTCTGGCACAATGCATAACCTCACTGTACCATAACTGCCTCCATTGCCATATTGTATTGTAACAAGGCTAAGAACATAAAGCAAGACTGATATCTATTCTGTCATACAGGGGACAGGGTAATTCCCCTGTTTGTTTCCCAGTGCGGGGAGTGTCGCTTCTGCTTGCACCCGGAGACCAACCACTGCAACATGAACTGGTAAGCAGGGGGCCATCAGCAACAAACTGGGAGTATATGCTATGTTATTGTACGGGGAAAACATCATAAGGGAATTAAAAGGCTATAAAGTTGTTCACTGAGACTTATAAGTAGCACCAAACAATGTATTATTAATATTCTTTGGTATTTTTCTTTTTCTTTTACTTTTTCATAGGTCAAGCCAGAGGTAAGACATTGTTACCTGACTTTAATCGTAAAAAAAGATGAACTTTGAAAAAAAAAACTGCTGTCAGGATCATAAGTGAGATATGGCATCCTTAAGCAATAATTGTAAATCACTTTAAGGGCTTCAAATCACTATAATGTAAATACAGTGCCTTTCTTCCAGCAGTTGGGGTTATACTGCCACCAAGTGACTGAAAGCATGCAGTGCACCCTGTACCTTTGTATCTGTAATAGCAGCATTACATTACTTTCAGCAATTAAACGTCTAGGTCATGTGACTAAGGAGAATATGGTGGAAGGTTTTGTGGCCATCTTGATGCACCTGTTCTTATAGATGTTCCTTTGATTTCAGGCCTGGAAAGAGGTATGATGTGGGATCAGACACCACGTCACGGATGAAGTGCAAGGGACAGACCCTCCTTCAGTTCATGGGCACCAGTACCTTCTCGGAGTACACTGTGGTCAATGAGACTGCAGTGGCCAAAATCCCTGACTCTGCCCCGCTGGACAAGATGTGCTTGCTGGGCTGTGGTGTCTCCACAGGTTACGGTGCTGCCATCAACACCGCCAAGGTGACTCCGATTCTACGCTACCGGTCAAAAGCTTTTGCCCACCACAGGTTTTTACCACTTTTACATTTATTTCATAAACTGCAGATTTTTCGTTCTTGTTAAGCATTGGAGTTGAGTGAACATCTACAAATAAAAATTGAAGTCAAATAAAACAAGTTTCCTTTATAACATGGAAAGAGTATGTAATAGTGTATGTCTGACGTCCTGTTAACTGGTTGTGTGGTGATGGCATAGTCAAATTGGAAAGTTAACTAGTTAATTGTTGCCCCCCCATGAAACCAGACTTTGATGAATCAAAGATATGACATTTTCTTGCTAATAAACGTACTCAAAATTGATTTGTTAGCAAAGAATATTGAGTATATTTGTAGTAACTGTTAAATGAGTAACATGCAAATGTAGAAACGCTCAGTGTGTGCAAAAACTTTTGACTGGTAGTGAATTATCATTAGTAGTATCAATAGTATCATGGTTGTTTCATGGCTTGTGTCATCGTTCCATGAGTTGGATGTATCCATGACGACGCACGTGTCTCACGCAGGTCAAACCCGGCTCCAGCTGTGCCGTGTTCGGACTCGGCGCCGTGGGTCTGGCTGCGGTGATGGGCTGCAAGGCCGCCGGCGCCACCAGGATCATCGCAGTCGACATCAACGAGGTCAAATTCGAGAAGGCGAAGCTGTTCGGAGCCACTGAGTTCATCAACCCCAGGGACCACAGCAAACCCATCCAACAGGTGCTGGCTGGGATGACCGACGGAGGCGTGGACTTCTCCCTGGAGTGCACCGGGAATGTGGATGTCATGGTGGGTGGAGAACTCCGCTGCTGGCACCTTTGTCTGGTTTATTGGTCTTCACCTCTGTTTTCTTTCTCTGATGCCAGAGAAGTGCGCTTGAGTCTTGCGTGAAGGGCTGGGGGGTCAGCGTGGTGGTGGGCTACACGGACACCCACGACGTGTGCACCCGGCCCCTTCAGCTGCTCAGTGGGCGCACATGGAAGGGTTCACTGTTCGGAGGTAAGCGCACGAATACCTATACTCTGCTCCTCAGTAATGCTCTGATTACATGTAATCTCCCAACCAGCGTATTACCACAAATATGCAATAAATCACTTTAATAAACAAACAAACAAATAAATAAATATACTTACTGCCCTAGGTTGGTGCTCCGGCCCGGGTTATTCCCTAGCTTATGTCCAAAGTTTCCAGGATAGGTTCCAGTCCCCTGTCACCCTGCATAGGAGTATAAAAGATGAATGAATGAACGAATGAATGAATGAATATATACAATATATTTAAATCTAATTAAGTTCAATGCTCTGGTTTCATATGTTACAATACCATGTGTGTTCAGAATTCACATATTGATAATCATATTATCAATAAATGAGATGAACCGACAGGGGGTGCTTTGCATTTAACAGGCTATAAGAGTGTGGAGAGTGTCCCAAAGCTGGTCGATGACTACATGGCCAACAAGCTCAAGCTGGATGAGTTTGTGAGCCACACTCTACCCCTGGACAGTATTAACGAGGCCTTTGATCTTTTGGTTCAAGGGAAAAGGTACTCTGCCTCCCTGTGCTTTCTGCTTTTGTGTTTACAGCCCCATGCCCACGTAGCAAGCAAATGTTTGATGTCAGCTTTGTAATCTTTCATATGACACTGTATTTCCTGCCCACCCTCTTTTCCAGCATCCGAACAGTGCTAAAGCTGTCTACAGGACATTGAGAAGTGACGCGACCTGCCTCGTGTTTGAAGATTCATGACTTCTGGTTCACTGAAGAAAAATCATTCTTACCGCTCATAATAATATTCACTGCTGCTCGTGATTCATGTCTCTATCCTCAATTGCCCTTCGCTCGGGTTACCAATTGCACACCTGCAGCTTTTGCAATTTTCAACATGTCTGTGTTGTACTATCGAAACCCTTCATCAGTAAAGGTACCTTTACCTTAGCAAAACGTCAATGTGAAAATCATTGTTCAGCCACGTTCTTTGTGTCCAGTTACAACAGCAGATGGTCAGTGACACACACGTAACATTACACATTACTATTCAAAGGTCTGAACAGACATACTTGAAATCATACTTTTCTATTCATGAAACTTGATACACTTCTCTATAAAAAGGACTGGATGTGACTGTCATGGAAACAAGTCCATAATCCAACATGTTCAGTTTTCGTAAAGACTTCATTATCTGTTTCGTATAATGTAATATTTTATAGACTGTTTTCGTTTTCAATTACTTAGAGAAAAAAATAAACGATGTTAAAGATAATGGGGAAAAAAAAGTTACTAGCAACATTTGACTGGTTCTATACGTTGTACAGTGATTACTATAAGTGATTACTGCCCAAGTTATAACACAACGCAATAAATGCTCGTTAAGGTACTGAGTAAAAGTCAATAATGACAAAATTTTCCTAAATCTTTCTAATGATTAACTGCATATGAAGCTGTCAAATGCGACGTAGCGCTGAGCTGGTTTCCCCAAACATATACACACAATATTTAAGAGGCGAAAAAGACAGAAAATCAGGGCACTACACACCCACTGCGATTCTGACCAATAAAGTAACTGAAATTTGACACAGTAGCACCGCCCAATGTATTTTATCCTACTCTGATTGGCCGCACGCTACAAACTATAACACGAGGTGACACCTCTGCGTGATGATTGGCTGAAAATTACTTGTGATTGGATGACAGCTGCTTATTCATATTCCTGGGTCGTACACGCTCGCTGTTCCGCAGTGGGATACGAATATGGACACAGCAGGGAAAGTAAGCATGATCATTGTTTTAAATATTACTTCATGCCGTTAACGCGTACGCGGCCCTAACGATAATATGCATATTATACACATTATAGTATATTATCTGTTCTGTGAGTTTCATGTTCAGCATTGCTGTATATTTAGTTTTTCTTTCCTTCTTAATGGACGTTGACCTGAAAGTTGGACTTCAAATTTTATACAAAGAAACGTGAGTCTGGGTGTTGGTGTGCTTGGCTTGCAATGGCGCTATGTAATTGTTAACTTAACTTCATCCTCACTTTTACAAAAATAATCGGTTTCAGAGAGGTGGCAAACCTTTTACTCAAATCTTAGGGTTTAATTAACCATTTTCTCGGAGATACGTGTCGCATTTAGCGGAACTGCACAGACGTTTTTCCCCCAGGAACCGCACGCTTTTCATTAATGGCTGCAAGTTGCAGTTTTGCATGGATGCAGTTATTCCCGAAATTATTTTGCGTTATTTTTGCTGTTGCTTTTCAGAAAGTAGGACGCTGTACCGTTAACACGCGGGTATTAACGTCGAGGCAGCTGAGTTTGTGAAACATCAACCTCCGAGGTTTAGTCTCCTGATCACGCCGACATATTAACCATACGAAGTTCACCGCTTACAAGACTCCAAAAGTCCTCTGTGAAGTTAGAGCATCTGTGCAGGTTGCATCAATGGGCAAGATCTCAGATTTCCTCGGATTTATTTGATTTTTGTGGTGAATGCCACTCTGACAAGGTAGCTCGAATTACCTGCCAGCCCCCCGTCTGAAGTGAAATTGGGTGGCAAGTCTCCCCTATGCTCCCCATCGGCTCGACTGACCCAGGTTCCAGGTGTCACTGAACGACAACAAATTGCAATCCTGTGTATTGACAAACAGGTGATCAAGTGCCGGGCTGCTGTGGCCTGGGAGGCAGGGAAGCCTTTGTCCATCGAGGACGTGGAGGTGGCCCCACCTAAGGCCCACGAAGTCCGCATCAAGGTAACTGCAACCCTCCAGGAGATCACCGACTTCCACGTTTTGTCAATGAACACGGAGCCAGTGCACGAAGGAGCTTGCGATCCGGTGGTGGCCCGTATCAAACTGAAGGCGTGCTTCTTGGCTGGTGAAGCAGCAATGTGGGTTAATTATGTGGCAGTGGGAGGCAGCAGAGTGAATATCCTGCAGTGTTTCCCCGTCCTGGTTTTACTTGCTTGTGGTAATTTTACTTACACAAAAATGTTTTGTGGGCAGAACGAAAAATGATTCATTCATTCATGTTCAGACAGATAACCAATCAGATTGTAGAGGAGGTGGGACCAAGACATCTGATTGGTTGGTCCCGCCTCCTCAAGTTGATTTCACCAATCAGTTTTCATTCTGCCCTCAGAACATTTTTGCGTAAGTACAACTCCCATGAGCGTTTTGCTTTCTGTCAGGATTTAATAGAGCAGCTGTGGGGTTCCTTCATGTCCCGTTCCACAGCTGCAAAACTGCTTCCGCAATTTCATACACTCCTTTTTCCCCTCTGTGTTAGCATGTAGCATATTGAAAGCAACAGATATAGCCCCATGCACCACATATCATCGTTAGCAAAATATGTAACCGAAGAATGTGTTCTGCGCAGTTTTTTTGTGTCTATTTACTTGTGCATTAAATTGTTGAACTACCTTCTTCAGCTCCTTTTTCTACAGTAACATGGACAGTGTTTGTGAAGAAACTTTAAAATGAAGACTGAAATTAGGCATGTTGTTCACAGAGGTGTATATAGGACCAGCGCTACAGAGGTACTGTCCCCAGCTAATCGCTGACTGGCCCCAGGTCTGTCCGCTCCTCTGTCTCTCACTGATTCAAAACATATTAGCTAATAAGGTTTGCACCTCTGTACAAATTCCGATGTCTTTTGCGCTCCCTACGTTAAAAATCCTGGATTTACTCGTGGTCCTGCATAATTTTGGGTATCTACATGCTTTTAGTTTGAGTATCAGCCTTCTGGACATTACCATGCTTTGGACACTGCCCCCTACTGGGCAGATTCTGGATAGGTGTAGCATTTATAGGATGGGAGGTTCTCGGGTGGGTGGGTGTTCGGAGCTGGGCATGAATGCCGGCCCTTTGCCGTAATCTCTGCAGCTGTTTGCGACGGGCGTGTGCCACACGGACGCCTACACTCTGAGCGGCGCCGACCCAGAGGGGCTCTTCCCGGTCATCCTGGGCCATGAAGGTGCCGGGACCGTGGAGAGCGTCGGAGAGGGGGTCACCAAGTTTAAGCCAGGTGAGGCGGTGATGGGGGGTTGCCAGAGTGAGCTTTTTTCGGTTGTTAAAATATCTCTAGATGTTGCTGTTGTATGTGTCCAAAAAAGCTCTGTGACTTTTTAGAATAGAATATTGAAAAATAAAGCGATCGTAACAGATGCTACCCTTGATCTTGGCCAAAATGTTACAGTGCAACAAGTTAAGTGATGGTCAAGGCTACAAACTTGACAAAAAGTAGCTAAATTTAAAACTAAATATGAGTTGTTTCCAGTGAGTTAACTGGTGTTAAATAGATAGTTAACAGTGTTGTTAAGTGGATATTTTTCTCTCTTCAGGGGACGTGGTCATACCGCTGTATGTGCCACAGTGTGGAGAATGCAAGTTCTGTAAAAACCCCAAGACCAACCTCTGCCAGAAGATTAGGTAACCAGTCAGAATTCAGATGGTTCCCTAGCTACAGTAGAGACTATTATATAATATAACTGCGGGTGTCTGCTTGACCTTTTCATTCTCTAGGGTGACCCAGGGTCAGGGTCTGATGCCCGACAAGACGTCCAGGTTCACCTGCAAAGGCAAGCAGCTCTTCCACTTCATGGGCACCAGCACCTTCTCCGAGTACACGGTGGTGGCAGACATCTCCATGGCCAAGGTGGACGAGAAGGCCCCCATGGACAGGGTCTGCCTGCTGGGCTGTGGCATCTCCACGGGTTACGGCGCTGCCCTCAACACCGCCAAGGTGAGATGGGAAGGGGCTCTCAGTACCGCGATTGTTTTATACACATCCTGACATGTTTCTAATATTATTCAATCTAGTCCACAGATCGATCTTTTTATTCTCTGGCCTGCAGAGAATTAAAAAAATTATGTAATCTCATTCCGCTAATTAGTGTCAGCAAACTCTGTATTTTTCATCACCAGCAGCAGTGCTGATTTGTATATAATTTTTATCTCTCTCGTTTATCTTTCCACAAAAAAATGGCCAGTTAGAGCTGATGCTCTCTTAGCTAGTGGCCCCAGATTAAGTGTGAGTCCCTTTAACACTTGGTCACTAGAAGCTTCTCTCCATGGACCTTGGTAATTTATGCCAAAGTGTATCAGCCCAAAGGCTTCTTGCTACATATTTTTTCATGTGGCATCAACATTTCTTAAGTTCTGGTGCTGATTAATAGTGTAATAGTGTTGGTGTAATCCTTGTCCTTTGTGCTGTGGTGTCATGGCGCCTCTTCACCTTTAGGTGGAGCCAGGCTCCACTTGTGCCGTGTTCGGCCTAGGCGCCGTGGGTCTGGCCGTCGTCATGGGGTGCAAGTCGGCCGGGGCGGCCCGCATCATCGGCATTGACATCAACACGGATAAGTTCGAGAAGGCCAAAGAATTCGGAGTCACGGACTGTGTGAACCCCAAGGACCACAAGAAGCCCATCCAGGAGGTTCTTGTGGAGATGACCGACGGAGGGGTGGACTATTCCTTTGAGTGCATTGGCAATGTTGGGATTATGGTGAGCTATAATGCACTTTTCCTACTGATCATCAGGAAATCAATGTAGGTTGTGCATTTTTTTCTCATGTATTTCTTGTGAAAATTCTTTAAAATGTTCACCTATTTACAAAAGGAGACTTTAACAATGCATCAGCAAATTGTGGCTTGATCTCACTCTTACCAGAGTAGCAGATATATTAAACTTGGACTGTGCTTTTTCTGGCTTAAATATTTTCTGGCTTAAATATTAAGCCTGAGTTTAAATTCTGGTTTGTTCATTTGCTGTTTTCTTTGTCTAGAGAGCTGCTTTGGAAGCCTGTCACAAAGGCTGGGGTACCAGTGTCATCATCGGGGTGGCCGGTGCGGGACAGGAGATATCAACACGCCCCTTCCAGCTGGTCACGGGGCGTACTTGGAAGGGAACAGCGTTTGGAGGTGAGCTTCTGCGTACGCGCGTGTATTATGGGATGTTCCGTTGACGTTGGCTGTAGTTGGATGTCGTGCTACTGACACTAGGTCTTTGGCTGGTTTTGTTGACTAGATTATTACTTTTTCTGTAGGATGGAAGAGTGTGGAAAGTGTTCCAAAGCTGGTGGACGATTATATGGCCAAGAAGCTGAAGGTGGATGAGTTTGTGACCCACACGTTGCCCTTTGATCAGATAAATGAGGGCTTTGACCTCATGCATGCTGGTAAGAGGTAAGATCTCCAGTGTTACATTTGAAGCTGTATAACACGTGAAATTGTGCTCACAGTCAATGAAGGAAGTAGTTTGAGTCTTTGGTTTAGGATTTGATGAAAAGGCTGGATGTTTTTGGCACGTTACATTGAAATGGTAAAGTAGTTATGAATGCAAGGCTTTGTTTGTCTTGCAGCATTCGGACTGTTCTGAAGTTCTGAAGCCCCTGCCGGTCTGTCGGTTCCCCCGCTGCCTGAAGACCTAGCTGTTCTCGGCTCCATGCACTTCCCACAGCTTAAAGACCTGATCTTGTTGGTAATCAGCAGTTGCATTAACGCTGAAAGCGTGTCTCCGCGTACTAGGATAATTAAAACCGTTTGAAATTAGAGCCTGCTTCATTTTTTCCCCCACTGTATGGCTTAATTAAGAGTATAAGAGAGGGTTGTCAGGTAACCGATTATACATTTCTTTAAATTAAGAACCAAGTCCATGTTGTGAAAAGATCATTTCTACGGACTGTAATTCTGGATAGAGAACATGTTCTAACTGGCTAATTCAACACAAGTGCCCAAGAAACGTATTTCCCACAGAGAAATTTAACTGTCTTAAACTAAAGAATTACAAAATATTTTTACTTTGCCAAAGTTATGTTCACCCAGTTGTGAGATGAACCGAAAAACAAGAGGCGTTATGATCTACTGCACTGTCCCAGGTGGACAAATCGCATTTTAATGACAATCCAATCGAGTGAATGGGCTCAGCCAATCACAGTGAAGCAAGTGGAAGCGGACCTTCCACAATCTCTCACTTACACATAAACATGTGACCATAGCACTGACAACCACCGATCCGCACTGGGATCACTTGAAAGTTAAGCATAAAAAAAGTACAGCACTCCCACATTACAAAGCACCATACACTGCAGCATTGTTACAATGTGGTGGTGTAAGCCATCTTTTCCCCCTGAACGTCACATAAAAGTAGTTCTGGGGACTGTAAGACATTTGTTTCAGCATTATGGATCTGGCAACATTAGGACAAGGGCACACAGTAATCCGATTGGTTGGGTGTAGATCACATGATACGGGACAGGAAAAAAAAAAACAGTACTGACAATCAAAGGAAACGTGCAAGGTGAAACAGTGAGGCACCCTTCCGAGGAGATACTAGAAGCCTGGTTCCAAGACAAGATCTTTGGGTTGAACACTGTTAGAAACCAGCCGGAGGTACACACAGGGTGCCAAGTCTGATTTTTCAGCATTTCGAATAAAATCTGCAACAAAAAAACAAGATGATGGCACAACTACATCTAAAAAACACTGCAGGTATCCATGTACAGTGCTATTTCATTAAAACTACTTCATGTACTTTCATTACCATCAGTCAACAGCCAAGCAGCTTAAACTGGTCTCGGCTGAATGAGCTACGATGCGTTTCAGCACCTCTACGAAGGGGGTGGGGGGGGGGGGACAGGAGAGGATCTGCACTTTGACAGTGAATTTGTCTGAACTATACATGAGACAGCCCTGACTGTGCTGCAGCTCCAGCTGATACTCGTATAACACAGGCAGGGGAGGGAAATGTCAGTATGTATCCACAGAGTACATGACACCCACGACTGGCACCCCCTAGTGGCAGGGAGGCCACCAGAATGACCCTTTATCGTATATTTCATAAGCTCCAGCATTTTAAGAGTGCGCCTTCTGCAGCTTGTTTCAATTAACCCAATTCCAGATGTTTCCATGGGGTAAAAACAAGCCAGGAAAAAAAATGTCATGGGAAAATGAGGGATGATCAAGGGGTTGATGATTAGACAAACTTGGCTCCCTCACTACTGTGTGTGTGGTTGTGAGGGGGGGGGACAGCTTCGCTCTATATCTGGCTCATGAAATGGGGCCGCCCATTGTCGTCAAGCCTTCGCGTCAGGATGTCGCAGCCCGTCTCCGTCACCAGCAGGGTGTGCTCGAACTGTGCAGAGCGCCGGCCGTCCCGCGTCACGGCCGTCCAGCTATCAGGCCACGTCTCGTCCTGCCAGCCGCCTGCGGGGCACAGAGAGGGGGGGCGAGGTTGGAGGCCATTGGAGATGAACATCAACGGACAGCAACACACGCAGAACCACACAAATCCCAGACAAACTTTTTGCTCTTTAGTCTATTGAGCAAAATCTAATAAAATCAAGTATTTGGAATAAAACAAGAACAAAAACCAACAGGTTATGAGCTAGACTACTGGAGTTCTTTAATGAAACATCGCCACAGAGCTATAAAATCTTTTCACCTGACAACCTGGTCCTGAACTACACAAGTCACCCAGCATGTAACTGCATTGCACCAACAACAGAGGGCGCCCTTCCTTACCTTCACATATCATCGGCTCGATGGTAAAAACATGGCCTGGCTTCATCACCCCCACTGCTTTGTTTTCTGTAGATAGGACAGAAGAGGATAGTCTGGTTAACAACAACAAGGAGGAGGAGAGGTGGCCACTAGGGCGGCGCCACTCACTGGCATAGTGTGGCACGTTGGGGGCTGTGTGGAAAAGCTTGTGGATGCCGTGGCCACAGTAGCTCCGCACCACGGAGAAGCCGTTGGCCTGGGCGTGCTTCTGAATGATGTTACCCAGCTCCCTGTAACGGACACCTGGTTTCACTGCAGGAGGAAATGGAGAAAGGGGTCAGAGGTCGCTGCCATGGCGATGATGGGGTTACATCACAGACATTAATTATGACGTAAAAAGGAATCCCATACACCTGGCTGGAGTTAGCCTGGTACCACAGCCAAATGTCTTTAAAAGCTCAGTACATTCAGAGAGTGCTGTCATTTTTACTTTGCTGACAAAGGCACTTAATTCTCTCCTAGCAGTGGAAGCCATCATCTTTGTGGCTATGGCAACACATGATACAACACAGCAGCCTCTATACCTCCAGACGCTTAGGAAGCACGGTGTAAGATTAGCAGAATTTATAGCGACCAAACTGCTCCCAGGTAACTTAAGTGTGTTAGTAAACTCCTACCCTTACCCGAGTCGATGGCTTGCATAAGGCATTCGAAAGTGGTCTGAACTAGCTTCCTGGCCCCCTCGTCAACTTCCCCGATGTAGAAAGTTTCGTTGAGGTCACCGTGGTAACCGTTGCGGTAAACGGTGATGTCCACTGAATGGGAAACAGGACAGTAGATGCTTCTCTTAGTAACGGAGAGTGCGACCAATATACGCGTGTGTCACAAAAGTTGCTTCATCTCGAGGGAGGGAAAAAGAACGAAACATCCCATAATATTTCCCCAACGGGCAAAATGTGGAGGAAAGAAAAGTATAAGGCTTTGTTGAACAGTGCTAAAGCAAAGCATTTTGGGAAATTATGGTTTCTGTCATCAGCACAGGGTTCGATTTCTGACCGTTGAGGATGTCTCCCTCTTGGAGGGGCCTCCTGTCCGGGATCCCATGGCAGATGACCTCATTGACAGACGTGCAGCAAGACTTGGGGAAATTGTAGTAATTCAGAGGGGAAGGGTAGCAATTCCGGGCAGTGCAAGCCTGCAGGGGGAATGGGAGGGAGGTTACTGGTTATTGGCGTCTTTGGTGGAATGGGGGGGTTCAGCAGAGTGTCGGATATCCCACCAGATGCACAGCATGGTCAATCTCCTCTGTCGTCATGCCTGGCTTGACCATCAGGGCGGCGACATCGAGCACTTCTCGGGCCAGCTGCAGGTATAAATAACCATGGTGACCACACGCAGCCAACCATTGACGGGCAACAGTTGCACCCAATGGCAGCAAAATAATCACATCACAACCATAGTCATATTCACGTTCAACTATTTAAATTATGATCTCTAATCTAAAAAATACAATGCAACAGCCAAAATATAACTCCATCAAAGCCGTCAGCCCTTTCATGTTCTGCAGATGGATGGCCAGCCAGACCCCATCTGCCCCATGACAGAACCCAAAGAACCCAAGTCCCATTTTAAGCTGGTATTATTGCCCAGAGATGATCCAATTCAGGGATACTCTATTCAGGTCATAGTTGTAATATGCATTGTTACACATGGTTACATAATGTCTGATCCAGGTACATGTGACCTGTGCTGAACCAGTCACGGTGCATTTACTCCACTAGATGGTAGATGAGGGTCCAGATGACAGGAATTTTGAAAGAGATTGAGATTTTTATAAAAATGACAAGGTGGGGAGACAGACATACTTTACACACGATTCTCATCCCTTCAATGTCTTCAGGAGACAGAATCCGTATCTGAGAGGTCCCCTTCAAAGTCTGCTCCAGTTCAGACATTCCTGGAATGACACCAAAATGAAGACAGAAAGCATTTTTGCTTCACTTTTTCCAGAGTCAGATCTGATCCAAAACCCAAACATTGTCATGAGGTAAACTGGTGTATAGGTCAGTCATTTTCACAATCTTCTGAAACTGCAGACACCGCTGCCAATAAAAATACTGAAAAAAAAATGTTCCTCACCACACAGCATCACTTCCAAACAAACAAACATGGCAACAAACAAAAAAAAAAACACCCATCTAATCCCAGACGTGTGGGCTGAGAGATAAGAAAAGTGGAAAACTGACATAATGACTAGAGCAGAATCCTCATGTATGCAGAGCTTAGCCTGGGGGATGTAGCAAGCTTTCTTGGAGCTCTGCAGGTGTCAAGGTGTACACAGTAGCCTGAAATAATTAAGGCCCGCTATGCTAATAGTTATTTATATGGCTGCTAATGCATTAGATGCTAATGCAACTTAGCAAAGGAACAAACACTAAACAATGACTTCCATGGTGAAAATAGAAAGCTTTAAAAGCTTCCTGGAGACCACAGCTGCTCCGGCACTTTTGGACCTCGATAACAGCACACTGTGCCGTAAAGCATGCTTAGACACATGGTCGACTTTCTAGACGAGATTGACTGATGTTTCTTCAAAGCCATACTCATCCTGCAATACTCTTCCGGTGCTGAAGGAGGCAGCACCACATAAGCTTAGCTTGAATTGGCAGCCATATCAAGCTAAGAACACGCAGCAGTTACCTAGTGGGTGATCAGCATAATCCGGCCTCTGGATATTCTCTGGAACAGGCCTCATTGGGGTCTGAGAGAGAAAGAAAGACAGGGATAGAGGGAGGGATACGAGCAGGAAGAGAGACCAACCTCAGCAAAAGCCATCAGTCAAAGAGTGAACTTCACTCCAGAGCATGTCAGTGAAATAACCAGCATCCCACACTACAGTTCTATTCCCACAACAGTCACGTCACAGTCCTTCTTGGGGAAGGCCTACCAAGGGGTAGTGCGGCCGCAGCTTTCCGGTGTAACGGTAGCCTGGCCAGGGGTCCGTATCAATATCGTTCTCAACTTTCTTCTTGGCATCTTCTTTGGTCTTGTC